TTATGAAAGCATCCAGCAACAGCACCCATTGGAGACCAGACACATCGGCTGTGTCTAGACTGGCAAGTTTTTCCGCAAAAGCAGCTGCTTTTGCGGAAAAACTTGCCAATCTAGACACAGCCGATGTGTCTGGTCTCCAATGGGTGCTGTTGCTGGATGCTTCATTAGAAGGTGGAAGGGTGTGAAGAGAGGAGGGCCTGGTATCACAGGGGTTAAACAAAGCCTTTTAGCCCAGCTAGCCATGCCCTGCTTTACCTGTTGCCGATGCCAGGCCTGGAGGGAAGATAAAAGGAAAGGAGCCTGGCTCAGTTAGGAACTGACCAGCAAGGAGACAGGAGTGTGGTTCTGCTGTCTGCAGGATAGGTACCAAAGCCTGTCAACTTGGCCAGCCACAGGAGCACATAAACTTCCAACCCCACCTCCTAGGACACAGGGGGAAACATGCTAGAACCCTACTAAGGGGAAATCTAGACTCTTGGGGCCACGCCCCAAACTTAAGGACTATACTTATATAGTGGGCTGGAGTTTCCAGGCCAGGGCACCAGCAGCAAGGTCTGCACCCCTTTTCTGCTGGCTAATTTTGGGACCTAACCACTAGGCCATGCTGTTGGCAGGGAGACCTGGCCCCCAAAGTTTAAGCTCCCTATAAGAAAAGTGGTTCCTTCCTGACCCTTATCAGCTGACCAGATACCTCCCTAAACTCCTTGCAGTTTGCACACCACGACTGGCATCACTGTCTGCTTTACCCTGCACTTTCCATTGATACACTAGGTGTGACCTGTGTATCTAAGAGAGTGTCTCTGTGTATCCCTGTGTATGTGTGATGCACAAATGCCAGTGTGAGCATGTCTGTGCGTTCACACATGTACATAGATACATACATCTAAGTATGCGTGTGTGTGTTTGTAGAAGATTATCCCTGTGTCTGCATGCCCCAAGGGAGAGGACAGACTCACCTGAGTTCCCACCAGGTGCCAGTGCTGTCTCTGGAGCAAAGAGGGACTTGAAATAGAGGAGGAAGCTGAGGCCAAAGGCCAGCAGCAAGGCCGAGAAAGCCAACTGCAGGAAGTGGTCATAGATGTAGCTGAGGCGGAGTCCGGCTGCCAGTCCAGCCCCCACCACGAGGGCTGTGACGCCCATCGCATGGAAAGCTGCCGTGTGGGAAGAGAGAAAGCAGGATTAGGAGAAAGGAGAAAGCTGATTACATACAGCATCACTTTGTGACTTTTAGTCGAGGATCCTTGTGTCTCAGCCCATTGTGTTGTTCTGGGCAACTGAGGCACAGAGAGGGGAAGGGACTTGCCCAAGGTAACACAGAGAATCTGTGGCAGATCCCAGATCTGAGGAGTCCTGACTCCTTGTTCAGACCCACTATGCAGCACTTTCCCCCAATACTATTACTTGTTACAATGAGGATTCAGTAGGCGATATGCTCGGCCGCAAATTCTGGGGCAAGGCACAGTCGATTTCCCCTCCCACACCACACCTGACACCCACCATTGATACGATACTGGAGCCGCCTCTTGTCTCGAAGGACGATCCCTTCTGTGACCTGTGGGAAAACAACACAACCTATTGGCACTGATCTCCCTGCTCTTGACTCCAACCCCTCATGACTCATCCTCCCTGGAACTTCATGCACAGCCATGTAGATTAACTTATTTTGAGCAGGTGTCTGCCTATATGATGCAGCTATCTGGCCATGATCTGGCTCAGCCCATGGCCCATGCAACTTGCATGTGCCCTTGACAGCCCATGGGCAGCCAAGCAGGTACCATTAGGCAGAGGGCACCCAGCAGGGAAGGGGATGTTCTGCCCTCTCCTCTGCCCCAGTGAGGCGAGACCCAGCATTACCTTCCCCATAGGCAGCATGTAGAGGGCAGCCTGCAGCCCGACCCAAGCCAGGAGCAACAGGAAGGTGTGGGGGTTCCAGAGGGTGCTCAGGGGTGGAAGTGGAGGCGGGAAGTTCAGCACACTGGCTTGCTCTGTGCCACATGTCAGCAGGAGATAGAAGACAGTAGCTGGCATGAGAAAGATGAGGATCACGGCTCCTGCAAAGGGAGGAAGGAGGAGTTAGAGGGACAAGGTCCCCAGGGCGATCAGAATTGTGGGTGAGTGATAGGCAGCAGCATCCCTGAGAGATAAGACCATGCAGTGAGTCAGTGGCAGAGCTGGGAACCCAGGATGCTGACTCCCAGCTCCGCCCTGCTCTAACCATGTAGCTGCATGCACAGCCCTGAAGCACAGCTCCAGTTCATCCTGCCTTTCAGGGTACAGGAGCCACTGCCTTCCAACCCCCCTCACCCTGGCCTTACCCAGGGGCCCTCCAAACTCCAGCTCTTTGGTGCGTGGGATCTTATAGCGATCCATCATCCTCCTGATGCCCCAGCCCTCGCTACCCAGGCACAAAGCTCTCCCCACAGGAACAGCAGTGGAGCTTCTCAAACCACAGTCACTTCCTCCTTCAGGAGCGGCTCTTGTGGATCAGACCTATGGGACACAAACAGGTAATTAGCACTCTCAGAGGACAGTGGGAGTCAGCTGAGACAGGTGGGAAGGTTGGAGACACAACCTGCACCGATCTGGGTTGGATGTTTAGCTTACAGCCGTGTCTACACTGCAAAATTATGAGAAGTCCTGTGGCACATTATAGACTTTAAGATGCCACAGGGTTCCTCATTGTTTTTGCTGAAACAGACTAACATGGCCTCTCTGAAACTACAACATTATGTCGACCTAACTTATGCCTGCATGCAACCACAGCAAGGACGACGCCAGGAGGCTTACATTGGCCCAACTGTGCAGCGTAGACCATGCCTACGTTGTCTGGAGTTGTCACATACACGGGGGGTGTGAAGGGTGAGACCTCCTCATGGTCTCCTAAGTAAGTGTGAGGGGGCTCTGTGGCCACCTTCTAGGTGGTCCTCAGCTTGAGTTCAGGCCGCCTCCTCCTCCCTCCCATAGCGGGGAGCCTGCGCTGGTGCTCTAGCCTTGCCCTCCCACCCATGAGGTTGGAGCACCAGTGCTGGCTTCCTGCTGGTGGGGGGAGACAGCCCTGAGCACTGCAGAATCTGGCTCACAGGGAAGAAGCATTTTATGAAAGCATCCAGCAACAGCACCCATTGGAGACCAGACACATCGGCTGTGTCTAGACTGGCAAGTTTTTCCGCAAAAGCAGCTGCTTTTGCGGAAAAACTTGCCAATCTAGACACAGCCGATGTGTCTGGTCTCCAATGGGTGCTGTTGCTGGATGCTTCATTAGAAGGTGGAAGGGTGTGAAGAGAGGAGGGCCTGGTATCACAGGGGTTAAACAAAGCCTTTTAGCCCAGCTAGCCATGCCCTGCTTTACCTGTTGCCGATGCCAGGCCTGGAGGGAAGATAAAAGGAAAGGAGCCTGGCTCAGTTAGGAACTGACCAGCAAGGAGACAGGAGTGTGGTTCTGCTGTCTGCAGGATAGGTACCAAAGCCTGTCAACTTGGCCAGCCACAGGAGCACATAAACTTCCAACCCCACCTCCTAGGACACAGGGGGAAACATGCTAGAACCCTACTAAGGGGAAATCTAGACTCTTGGGGCCACGCCCCAAACTTAAGGACTATACTTATATAGTGGGCTGGAGTTTCCAGGCCAGGGCACCAGCAGCAAGGTCTGCACCCCTTTTCTGCTGGCTAATTTTGGGACCTAACCACTAGGCCATGCTGTTGGCAGGGAGACCTGGCCCCCAAAGTTTAAGCTCCCTATAAGAAAAGTGGTTCCTTCCTGACCCTTATCAGCTGACCAGATACCTCCCTAAACTCCTTGCAGTTTGCACACCACGACTGGCATCACTGTCTGCTTTACCCTGCACTTTCCATTGATACACTAGGTGTGACCTGTGTATCTAAGAGAGTGTCTCTGTGTATCCCTGTGTATGTGTGATGCACAAATGCCAGTGTGAGCATGTCTGTGCGTTCACACATGTACATAGATACATACATCTAAGTATGCGTGTGTGTGTTTGTAGAAGATTATCCCTGTGTCTGCATGCCCCAAGGGAGAGGACAGACTCACCTGAGTTCCCACCAGGTGCCAGTGCTGTCTCTGGAGCAAAGAGGGACTTGAAATAGAGGAGGAAGCTGAGGCCAAAGGCCAGCAGCAAGGCCGAGAAAGCCAACTGCAGGAAGTGGTCATAGATGTAGCTGAGGCGGAGTCCGGCTGCCAGTCCAGCCCCCACCACGAGGGCTGTGACGCCCATCGCATGGAAAGCTGCCGTGTGGGAAGAGAGAAAGCAGGATTAGGAGAAAGGAGAAAGCTGATTACATACAGCATCACTTTGTGACTTTTAGTCGAGGATCCTTGTGTCTCAGCCCATTGTGTTGTTCTGGGCAACTGAGGCACAGAGAGGGGAAGGGACTTGCCCAAGGTAACACAGAGAATCTGTGGCAGATCCCAGATCTGAGGAGTCCTGACTCCTTGTTCAGACCCACTATGCAGCACTTTCCCCCAATACTATTACTTGTTACAATGAGGATTCAGTAGGCGATATGCTCGGCCGCAAATTCTGGGGCAAGGCACAGTCGATTTCCCCTCCCACACCACACCTGACACCCACCATTGATACGATACTGGAGCCGCCTCTTGTCTCGAAGGACGATCCCTTCTGTGACCTGTGGGAAAACAACACAACCTATTGGCACTGATCTCCCTGCTCTTGACTCCAACCCCTCATGACTCATCCTCCCTGGAACTTCATGCACAGCCATGTAGATTAACTTATTTTGAGCAGGTGTCTGCCTATATGATGCAGCTATCTGGCCATGATCTGGCTCAGCCCATGGCCCATGCAACTTGCATGTGCCCTTGACAGCCCATGGGCAGCCAAGCAGGTACCATTAGGCAGAGGGCACCCAGCAGGGAAGGGGATGTTCTGCCCTCTCCTCTGCCCCAGTGAGGCGAGACCCAGCATTACCTTCCCCATAGGCAGCATGTAGAGGGCAGCCTGCAGCCCGACCCAAGCCAGGAGCAACAGGAAGGTGTGGGGGTTCCAGAGGGTGCTCAGGGGTGGAAGTGGAGGCGGGAAGTTCAGCACACTGGCTTGCTCTGTGCCACATGTCAGCAGGAGATAGAAGACAGTAGCTGGCATGAGAAAGATGAGGATCACGGCTCCTGCAAAGGGAGGAAGGAGGAGTTAGAGGGACAAGGTCCCCAGGGCGATCAGAATTGTGGGTGAGTGATAGGCAGCAGCATCCCTGAGAGATAAGACCATGCAGTGAGTCAGTGGCAGAGCTGGGAACCCAGGATGCTGACTCCCAGCTCCGCCCTGCTCTAACCATGTAGCTGCATGCACAGCCCTGAAGCACAGCTCCAGTTCATCCTGCCTTTCAGGGTACAGGAGCCACTGCCTTCCAACCCCCCTCACCCTGGCCTTACCCAGGGGCCCTCCAAACTCCAGCTCTTTGGTGCGTGGGATCTTATAGCGATCCATCATCCTCCTGATGCCCCAGCCCTCGCTACCCAGGCACAAAGCTCTCCCCACAGGAACAGCAGTGGAGCTTCTCAAACCACAGTCACTTCCTCCTTCAGGAGCGGCTCTTGTGGATCAGACCTATGGGACACAAACAGGTAATTAGCACTCTCAGAGGACAGTGGGAGTCAGCTGAGACAGGTGGGAAGGTTGGAGACACAACCTGCACCGATCTGGGTTGGATGTTTAGCTTACGGCCGTGTCTACACTGCAAAATTATGAGAAGTCCTGTGGCACATTATAGACTTTAAGATGCCACAGGGTTCCTCATTGTTTTTGCTGAAACAGACTAACATGGCCTCTCTGAAACTACAACATTATGTCGACCTAACTTATGCCTGCATGCAACCACAGCAAGGACGACGCCAGGAGGCTTACATTGGCCCAACTGTGCAGCGTAGACCATGCCTACGTTGTCTGGAGTTGTCACATACACGGGGGGTGTGAAGGGTGAGACCTCCTCATGGTCTCCTAAGTAAGTGTGAGGGGGCTCTGTGGCCACCTTCTAGGTGGTCCTCAGCTTGAGTTCAGGCCGCCTCCTCCTCCCTCCCATAGCGGGGAGCCTGCGCTGGTGCTCTAGCCTTGCCCTCCCACCCATGAGGTTGGAGCACCAGTGCTGGCTTCCTGCTGGTGGGGGGAGACAGCCCTGAGCCTCACTGCACAATCTGGCTCGCAGGGAAGAAGCATTGCACCCCCCTCTCCGCTTCCCACGGCTGAGGAAACAGCAGCATGCAGCCTTGCTCCTCCCATTGGCTGGATTCCAGCCAATGGGAAAAGCAGGAAGCAGTACTTGGGAGTGATGCAGGGTGCAAAGGCAAGTAAGTGCCCCTCACCCCCTTAAAACCAGACTCCCCCAGCCCCTTCACACCTTCCCTCTACTGAGACCCCGCACCATCACCCTGCTCCTGCCCCCTCCCTCCTGGCTAGACACCTACCCCCAGCGTGCTTCTGTCCCCACTGCTCTGGCCAGACACCCTACCCCCAGCCTGCTCCTGCACCCTTCCTCTTGGACACACACTGCACCTTCCCTTGCTCTTGCCTCCTCCCTCTGGCCAGACACCCCAATGCCAGCCTGCTCCTGCAACCCACCTCCCATTCAGACCCCCACCTTCACCCCCTCCTTCACTCCACCTCCAGCCCAGACTTTGCACCCTCACTCCCTCTTGCACCCCACCTCTCACCTTAGATCCTGCACCCACATTCTTCTTTCTGGCAGCCCTGTCACACACACTGAACCCCCCATTTTTGTCCCAACCCCAGAGCCTGGGGAGGTCCACAAAATCCACTAATCCTGGAACCCAAGAAGAGTAAATCTGGCCTATGGGAAGCCTTGAACCTCAGTCCTTCCCTCCCTGTCCCTCCCCCTTCCCCAGTGGGGCTAGAGTGCCAGATGAGCAAAGCATCTCAGTTGGGGGCCACATCAGTGAGGACTGGGGGGTTTTGAAGGAATGTTTTTTGTTTGCTTGCTTGTTTGTTTGCTTCTGACTTGTGTGGTCCTCAATTGATTTTTCTGTGGGTGAGTGGCCACTGACCCAAAAAAATGTTTCCCACCCCTGCCATAAATAAAGAAAAGATGGGAAGCTTTTTACTTTACTTAAAATGAAGTTTGATAAACTAACATGAGAAAGTTAAAGTGCTTAGTCTGTTTAATACCGTAAAATCGCAAATATAATGCGCACTTTTTCCCCGGGTTTTTAGGCTCAAAGCCAGGGTGCACATTATACATAGGAGCAATTTTTTAAAGTTTTAAACTCCCCCTCCCCTTCGCACAAAAACTTTCCCGCTGAAGCACAGTACGAGGGCTGCCGCCCCGCCAGGCTCCCGGACAAGGTGAGGAGCCGGCGGTGCCACCAGGCTGCAGCGCCTTGGCTCGCTGCCTGCCGAGTGCTCCTTCAGGCTGTGCCTGGGGATCCCCGGGGGTCCCTGCGGCAGGCGTGAGCTCGGCGCGGCGCACGGGCAGCTGTCTGCTGCATGCGCGTTTTCCGGGCGAGCCTACAGGTAGGAGCAGCACATCCTTCCCTTCCGGTCTCCTGCTGCCTTTGGGAAGCGGACAAGGCTGGGCTTGGTGCTGGTGGGTAGGCTCCTGGCATAGCAGGGCAGGCTGTGTTGCCGCCCACAGCCAGAGACCAAGAAATTCTGGACTTCAGAAACAGGTTACCTCCTGTTCTCCTGTACAATGGGGTGCGGATTATACATAGGTGTGCATTATACTCTCGATTTTACAGTAATTTAAATTAATATTTCCTTTCTTACTGGTTAAATTAAACGGTTCTCTCTCGCTGCAGCACTAGCAAAATGGCTCGGGTGTAATTATGTAATCAATGGCGAGTTTCCATTAGCAATTGGTGATCCACAGAAAGGTTTACATGGAGCCTGGTGGTCCACAGGCCAAAAAGTTTGAGAACCACTGGTCTATAGATAAGGGGAAGACGAGGTTACTGGCTCAGAGAAGATCTGGAAACGTTTCCAGCAAGAGTTAGATAATAGCCCTGTCTGCTCTGGAGTTCCTGGGCCACATATTTTGTTGTAAAATATGTTTGTGGAAGGGTTTAGGGCTGGGATGATGGGGGGAGGGGGCTGCACATAAGGCCTGAGAGGGAGGAACCTCTAATGGGACCAGCAGGTGGGGCAGCAGGTCAGGACTGAGGGCTGGCAGAGCTGGGGGGCAGAGACCAGGAGGCTGCCGGGCA